GGCTGGGGGCTTGGCAGTCCCAGAGAAAGCCTGGGGGATTTCACCCTGGGGGACCGACCCAAAAGGAGCCCTGGGGATAGATTCCCGCTGGTGTAAACAGGCCCCACGGTGCTGGAGTGACTCTGGTTCACATCCGCTGGGTCTTTCTGGGGTTTTCCCAAGTGAGGCAGCTTTTGCTGACCTAGGCTCATCCCAGCTGGGCCCGACGCTAACCAGCAGGAGGCTCGATATCAATCCAGGGCATGATTTTCCCTGAATGACATACCCAGCAGCGTCGGGGGCCTTCCCTCTCTCGCTGCCATGCCGAGAGCAAAGCGCCTTCGAAGGCAGCGCGGGAACGAGGCGGGGGCTGGGAACGCGGGGGCGGGAGAGCCAGGCCTGACTCCTGGCAGCTTTCACAGCTCCCGAGATGCCAGAGAGACAGGTGAGAACAATACTTGCGTGCAGATCAAGTGGGAGCAGGCGGCGGATGGGAAATTGCCATACACGGCACAGAGCGTGTGCGTGCGTATGTGTGAGTTTGACGCAGTGTGTGCGCATGGGAGACATTGTGATTGTGTAAGAGAGGGGGAAGGAGGGGGAAGTGGCAGAGCAAGAGATGTGCTTCCTAAATCCACTCCTCAGTCTTCCTTCCCACTAGCCACCCCTCAGGGTGCCTGCTATGTGCCTCAGTTTCCCCATCTGTGACATGGCAGCAGCTGCCTTTGCCCACGCTGCGTTGGAGGGGGAGCCTGAGCTCTAGGCTGCCTGCCAAGCACCCAGAGACCACAAGGACGGCCGCCAGAAGGGGTGAGCGAAGCGGAGTGATGACCCTGCCTCTCACCTCACCCCTCCCCGCAGCAGCGGCTCTGGCATCACGCACCCCGCAACGAAATTCCTGCGTCGCAGGAAACTCTTACATACCTGGCAGCACCCGCAATGCAGACAGATTGTCAAACGCACATGCGGCGGCCAATTAGGGCTTTAAATAGATCATGTCAGTAAACACGCGGGGGCCCGATTCGGCTCCCTCTGACACGGGTGTAACTTCACCGGCTCTGAGCCCGGTGCCGCTGCTTTACACCGGGAGGGAGAGAAGAGAATGGAGCTTGGGAAGGTGGGAGAGAAATTTACCCTCGTGTAGAGGGCCCTTTCCAAACCTCACCTACTATCTAAGTCCCACATAAAGACCTCAAGATAAGGCTTAAGGGGGACACAAAAGGTATGCTGGCCCATTGCTCAAAAACAGAGGGAATTATTTGCCAACCAGGACAGCTGATAGGCAAACCTGGCGAGAAAAGCACAGACCTTAACTTCCCCACTGCCCAAGAGAACCCCAGCCTGGAACCCAGAGGCACCGAGAAAAGGACAGCGTACTCTGCCGCCCAGCCTTTGCTGAGAACCAGCTGCCTTTTAGCTCTTGCTGTAGAGGGACGTGGCTTTTATCTCGCAACATCCCATGTTCAACTCCACGCTGACCAGGGTCCGTCAGCTTCACGGTTCGATCTTAGAACTGGAAGGGACCTCGAGAGGTCAAGTCTAGTCCCCCACCCGCACGGCAGGACCAAGCTCCATCTAGATCGGGGTGGGGAACTTCAGGGCCGGGGGCTGGATGCAGCCCTTGGCTTGTGTGGATCTGGCCCCTGAGGCTCAGGGCTCCCCAGCCAGCACTGGGGACCCCGTGTTGCACTCCAGCCCCCCTGCCGTCTCCCCATTGGGCTGGAGCGCATATGGGTCAATGGCCCCTGACCCATAAAAGGTTCCACAGCCCTGATCTAGATCATCCCTGACTCCCCAAGCATCTGTCTCGCCTGCTCTTACACATCTCCAGGGATGGAGGTTCTACAGCCTGCTTAGGCAATTTATCCCAGTCAGGGGCGGTCCGTGAGCCTAGGCAAACTAGGCAGTTGCCTAGGGAGCTGCCGGCCTGGGCACCCAATGATGACGTCACGGGGCGCCGGGGTGCCCCATGATTACGTCACGGCCATTGACAGCCATGCAGGCAGGGGCGCCGATCGCGCCTTCCACCTGGGGCGCCAGCTGCCGCATCCGGCCTCAGACCGCTCCTGATCCCAGCGCTTAGTCCATATAATTGTCAGAATCTCACAGGGAGCAAATTCCCCCGGACAAGGAAGCTTGGACTAGTGGCGTGAACAAGGGACTGACAGCCAGGATCGCCCTGTTCTAAGCCCAGCTGAGTGGCCCTAGTGCAAGTCACTGTTCCCGCGCCGTGCCACAGTTTCCCTACCTGTAGCACGGGGATGGCGCAATTTAGCTCCCTCTTCATGTTGCTGCTGGGCTTATTTGATATCTCTGGAGCATTTAGCCTTTTTCAAGTGCCACCCCTCAGGCCTGAGGCATTTCAAATAAAACACACTGGCTGTTTTTAATGGGGCGTAGAGGAGGGGAAAACCCGAACAGCATCCCAGCTCCCCCTGCTAGCCTGGCACTGCGGGAGCCCCAAAGCTATGATCTAGAGGGTCATGCGGCCTTTAAGGAGTTTCACTTTTTCCTTGTAGCTTTTGGAAACCAGACCTCAGTGCAGGGAAATGTGAAACTGACGAGAAGCAGGAAGTGAAACTGACGAGGTGAGATGGCTTTACCGACAAGGAGGGGAGTGAAGGATGAAACATGCCTCTGTGGAAAGGCAGGGCATCCTTTGGGGGCGGAACAGGACTTGAGAGCGATCTGGACCTCAGAGGTGTAGCAGGGTGTACGCGAGGCATAAGCTTTGCACTGTCTCCCGGCCCAGGGCTGGCCCCAAGCTCGCTTTTTACAAGAGATGGAATAAAAGCCAACGTACCTTTAAGGGAGGGTGGGGTGTAGGCACACGGGTTGGTCCTCTTGGTTTTCAGCAGGTGGCCCTCGCCCAGCGTTCTCTGGAAGGGAGGAGAGAGTCAAGAGCACCAGAGCAGAGCAACCCCGAGAGTCGCCAGGTCACACGGGCCTTGGAGGGCCAAGCTCAGGACTGGGACAGCGGGTCCAGCAGCCACCCAAGTGACTCAGCCAAAGAGGCCCCGGCTCAGCTGCCTTCCCTGGATTCACAGCAAGGACCCCCATGTGCTGCCCGCTGCCCCTCCCGAGGCGGATGCTGCTGTGAAGCAAAGAGCAGGGAATGCCAAGCCACCCTCGGACCCCGTGGAGGGCGATTTCCGCGCCCCTGTGACAGGGCCTCACCCCTCCGCCCCACGCTCAAACCAAAGCCTTGCGCCGGGGAGGCAGGTGAAAGGCCCTGGCTTCAAAGCTGCCCTCCGGTGCCGTGCTAATTTGCCCACTTCTCGCTGGGTGGTTTCTTGGGACACGTGCGAACGCCTTGTGCTGAACAGCCTGCGGCAGCTGGTGTCTAGCTGGGATGCTCCCTCTTCCCCAGGCCTGAAGAAAAGCTGTCTGGGTCCTATCAAAGATATTTCCCCCTCCCCCACCTCGTCCCGCTCGCGTCCTGGGACCCACACAGCTCCCATGCTGCAAACTAAGGTGTTTAGGCGCTTAGCTATCCCCAATATTACCGCAGCGGGGCCGACAGCCTAGCCGGGCCCCTGGGCAAGGCGGGGGGGCGGGGGCCTGTGCCATACCTCTGGAAGAGGCGGGGCACAGGTGGAAGGGGCGGGGCTAGGGCTAGGCAGTCAGTAGCACAGCAATTTAAAGGATCCCAGGCCCCAGCCATCGGGGATCCAGGCCCTTTGTCCTGCCCCCCCCCTTCCGGCGGGCCTGCATCCCTGGGAGTTTGGCTCCTAAACTCCTTTGGGGATTCGAGCGCCTCTATGCGCCACCCAGGGAGAAGGAGCGCAAGGTCACCGCGCACAGGAGAAGGGCTCTGGGGTTCTGCCGCCTCCTGGGGGTGAGTGGCTCCCTAGCCCAGTCGGGTGGCAGAGAAGTAGGAATGGCTTTCTGGGGAGAACAAGGAGCTGGTTGGCGGATGAAAAGGGGCAAGCACCAGGGGGCCCAGTGATTCAGCAGCTGCAGCCCCATGTGGGACACTCTGGGTGGCACTGAGGGGTTGGGGGGAGGGGCTGCAGAGCCGCCCCCCTCCCCTCCCGCCTTGCTCAGGGGCCCTGCAAGTCTGCAGCAGCCTGCAAAAGTTTTTGCCCCACTACATTTGTTAGCCTTTAAGTGCCCCAGGACTCCTTAGTTTTTGCTGAGACTTTCCTGGGGAGAGAGGATCTAGGGGGTGGGCTGAGGACTCCTGGGGGAGGAGCCCTTGGTGCTGGCAGGCCTGAGGGAAAGGGGCTTGAACTGAACTTGGCTTCCCTGTCAATCCCCCAAACTCCCAGGAGCAGCGATGGTGGTCGGCGGATGAGAGGAGGCCGGGTGAGTTTGGATTCTAACAGGCGAGTGGACTGAGTCTGAGAACAGGCTGTGGGCTGCCCCTCCTCAGACAGGGCGGTCCACGCCGCTCGCGAGACTGTCAAACCCCCGTCTGATGGCGACACGTTTCATTCGCCGTCAATGCGGACGGGGGCCGACTTTGAACTGGCCCCACGGAGGCCAAAGTCTCCGCAGGGCTCTGCCCACGACCTCCCGCGAGATGCCGGGGCTGTTCGGTCCCCGCCAGGCGGCGAAAGTTTGCGGCAGCTCTGGGCTAAGTCACAAATCTGCTACAGTCGCGAACGGTGCATTCTGCGCCTGGCGGGGTGGACTTGAAGAGCAGCCAAGCCCTGCACCGGCTCCTAAGGGCTTCATCTTCCATCCCAGCTTAGCCCTGTGCTGCGCAGCAAGGAACTTAATTTCATGCGAGATCAAGGAGAAGTCATGGGAAACGTGGGCAGAGATCATCTCCCGCTGGGAGCTCCTGGAGCGCGGGGACTGAGCCGGGCTTGGCAGCTGCTGAAGTTGTTTGGGCGCTTCCAAGGTAACTCTGCACGAGGCCGTCTATCGCTGCCGGGCTGGCTTCACAAGGGCAAGGCAAAGGCCCAAGGCCAGGAGCCGGGGCGGGGGGG